GGGGAGATGTCAGAGGTAGGTTCTTTACACAGAGAGTGGTGGGTGCGTGGAATGCGCTGCCGGCAGTGGTAGTGGAGTCAGATACATTAGGGACGTTTAAGCGACTCTTGGACAGGCACATAGATGATAGTAAAATGTGGGGTATGCAGGTTAGTTTGATGTTAGAGTAGGACAATAGGTCGGCACAACATCATGGGCCGAACAGCCTGTACTGCTGTACTGTTCTATATTCTATGTTCTAAATGGAGATGGAGGGAACCCTGTATGATTTTCTTTTTAACCTCCCATTCCATGGGATGTTTGAGTTAATTGTCTCATTTTCCACCCTGGCTGTGATCAGATAACACAACAGGACAGCTAATATATGAAGTGACACCTTCAGTGTAATAGAACATTCCAAAGCGTTTGACAGGAACATTATAAAACAAAGACTTATCAGAACCATGTGTGGTGACATGAGGTCAGATAACTGATATTTTCAGTCAAAGATGGAGCTTTTAAGCAGTGTCTTAAAGGGGAAAATTGAGTTGGACAGGCTTAGGAAGGCACTCAAAAACCTGGAGTCAAGACAACTGATGGCGTGCCCACCAGTGATGGATTGTTAAAATTGGAGGTGCGCTAGAGGTGCCAGTAGTAAAGAATCACATGCACCACATAAGGTTGTGCGGCCTGGAGGAGATTGCAGAGATAGGAAGAGGCAAGACTAGGGTGAATTTGAGAACAAGGGTAAAAATCATAATGTCAAACCATTGCTACCCTGGGCGCCTGTGTCGTTCAGCAAGCCTAAAGGAGATAGAGGGACAGATTTCCTGGGCAGGAGAGTTTTGGACAGCCTCAAGCTTAGGAGGGCAAAATATGAGAGACTAGCCGACAGGTAACAAATGCATGAGTTATGGTTTCAGCAGCAGATGAGCTAGCAGAAGGTTAAGGTCAGGCAGGGTTGTTACAAAGTTGGAGAGAAGCATTCTTAACAATGCCATGATTATGTGATCAGAAGTGCATCTTGCTATAGAATTAGTCAGACATGGGAACTTGCTAGTCCATTTCTGTACAATGTTGCAGGATTCAGTCAGAATTTATTAACATTACAATGCCCAGCATGTTATCCCAATACTTTTAAAGAACTCATTGTAGTGACAAACTTCATCCTTCCAATTTTCTTTCAGACATTTAATGGAATTTGCAAGCGAACTGTGATGATATCAGATATCAAGGATGTCTTGGAAGAGGAAGAATTACAGGACAAGCTTGAAATCCATTTCCAGAAACCAAGCAACCATGGTGGTGAAGTTGAGAATATAAAATATGTCCCAAAAAATCAATCTCTAACAGTGTACTTTGAAGAAGACGTGGAAACAATATAGTCTTTTGGTTTTCGGTCCCTGAACTGCATGTTCTTTTAAAGGCCACTCTTACCTTTCTATCTGTTGAAATAGATTATTTTTGTCACTTCTGGCCAGACATTTTATCCATGCTCCAATAATAGCTTTGATTATTGTTATCACGATTTTATCTTATATATGTATATTTAATTTAATCACTGCACTGAGATATTTTACGTTCTGTATTAATGCATTCTGGTTGTGCTTTTACCTGTCATGTGCAAGGGGTAATATGGCTTTTCATACCCATTCTCCTTTACATTGGCAAGAATATATAATTTGCAAAATGCCATGAGAAAATCATTGTGCATAAAGTTAATGGGCAAATAAAGAAATGAAAAATACTGTTTCTGTGTGTCTTTACACGGGAGAATAAACTTAGCCAGAGATTTTTTTCAAAAGTGAAACCAAAATAATAAGAAATATTTAAAACTGCAATTTAATTTTGAACCTTGTGCTTTTTTGCTCTGAAATGTTATGTGAATGGTGATTAGTTGGGGAGGAATGTTGTAGCCGTGATACAATCTCCTTGTTTGACAGGGAGGCTGTTTAACAGGCCACTCATTAATGTAGCGTTGTCAGCTGATCATGGATAAGGCATCCCCCGTTACTAAACCAAATGTATTTTCCATGCACGTTGTCAGTAAGAAAATAGAAAAAGCTGGGTTTTAATTACAATGTTGGCAGTGATGATGTGGAGGTGCCGGTGTTGGACTGCGGTGGACAAGTTCAGAAGTCACATGACACCAAGCTATAGACCAACAGGTTTATTTGAAATCACAGGCTTTCGAAATGCTGCTCCTTCGTAAGGTGAAGTGGAGGGAACTTCACAAGCATAGTGCATATAGGCGGAGAGATAATGGCAAGAAAATTCCAGGTAATTAATAGTGTGAGTGGACTATTGACAGGCTAAATAACAAATCTTCACAGGTGATCAAAAGTGTTAATGGTGTGAGTAAAGTGTCAACAGCTGAATAGCAAGTAAAGGGAATGACCTATGAACCGATTAATTGACAACCCACTCTCAATTGCACTTATCTGTTGACACATCTTAATTACCTGGAATTTTCTTGCTATTATCTCTCTGCCAATATATCCTGTGCTTGTGCGCATCCCTGCACTTCACCTGATGAAGGAGCAGTGCTCACAAAGCTTGTGATTTCAAATAAACCTGTTGGACTATAACCAGGTATAATGTTGGGAATAACACACTGATTACAAATCCAGGGCAAAGATGATGCCTGGCATATTTCATGTTAATAAGCAGCTTAGAATATATTGTTTTTAATGTAGGTATTTTAGAGTGTAGGAAAATGGGAAGAAAGAAAAAAACTTGGCAATCATGAAGTGCTTCTCATGACAGTTCGACATCACAAAACACAGCTGATGAAGTACCTCTGAAATGTATTCACTGTTTAAATATAGAAAACATGACAGCCAACAAGTTCACAGTAAATTCCTAAAAGCAATGCAATACTGACCGGATAATCGGTTTTCAACAATATTGATCGAGGGATAAATATTGGCCATGGCATTGGGAAAAATCCCCAGCTCTTTGAAATAAATCTTTTGCATCTTTTACATTCACTCGAGCAGGCACATGGTACCTTTGCATGTTAAACATTTCATTTGACAAACAGCATCTCTGATACTGTAACACTCTCTCAGTGTGGCACTGAAGTTTCAGCCTTGACTTTAGTGTTTTAAGTCCTGGGTTGGAACTTGAACCGGGAATCTGATAAATCCAGATGTGAGTGTGATCAACACCACCACCAACATATCTTCCTTCACTCCCTCTGTCTGCATTTCGCAGGGACTGGTCCTTCCGGGACACCTTAGTCCATTCCTCGACCATCAACACCAATCCCCCTTCCCACAGCATCTTCCCATGTAACTGCAGAAGATGCAACACCTGCCCCTTCATCTCCTCCTTGCTCACTCTCCAAGGGCCTAAACAGTCTTTTCAATCTGCTCAATGCATTCACTGCGCCCAAGGTGGCCCACTCTGGAGAAACCAAACACACACTGGGTGACCACTTTTCACAACATCTCCGGTCCTTGCGCAAGCATGACCTTGACCTTCCTGTAGCCGATCGTTTTAACACAGCATCCTGCTCACATGCCCACTTGTCAGTTCTCGGCATGCTGCAATGCTCCAGTAAATCACAGTGCAAACTGGAGGAACAACATCTCATCTTCAGACTAGGCACTTCACAACCTTCTGGACTTGATATTGAGTCCAACACCTCCCATTTCTTCTCTTCCTTTTAGCTCTCCTTGTTGCATTCTCTGTTACTATGTCCTCTCTCCCCTCCCCTGATGCTAGCGGGACTGTTTGTTCTTTTAGTGTGGCAGTTAGGCACATCATTGTTCTGTCATTCTCATATTCTGATCACTTAATCTGCACTATCAAGAGCCTTTCTCCCTCAGCACTCTGCTAATCCATAACTGCTGCCCCCTCCACACTTCATATAAGCTCTGATGAAGACTCATCTAAACTCGAAACATTAGCTTGCTCTCTCTCCATGGATGCTGCCTGACCCACTGTGATCTCCAGCATGTTTTGTTTTCAGTGATCACTGAATCATTTATCAGGAATAGGGCTTTCACTCCACAATGCTTTTCCAACATTCACAGAGTATTTTGGTTGATCTGTTACCTAACTCCAAATAAACCCCTTTGCCCATGCCCCTTACAAGGTTTTGTCAGCAAAGATCTATTGAGAATATAAGAAATAGGAGCAGGTATAGGCCTTTCAGCCTCTCAAGATTGCCTTGCCATTCTATCAGATCATAGCTGATCTGCCCGAGATCTCAACTCCTCACAGTCCTCAACTCCTCCATATTTCAAAAATGTATTTACCTCTGATTACTTTTAGTGATCTAGTCTCCATAACTGTCTGTGTTAGAGAATTCCAGACATTTGCTAACCTTGGAAAGATGAAATTCTTCTGCAACTCAGTTTTAAATGAATGTCTCCTTATTTTGTAACTTTATCTCCTGGTCTGCGATTTCCTCAAAGTGGAATTACAGTTTTAAAATCAATAATTGCTCTGGCATCAATTGCTTTTTATTGTTTCTGTCGCCCTTTGTGTGAAGAAATGCTTCCTGGTGTCATTCCTGAAAGGACTAGCTCTAATTCTTAAACTATTCTCCTTTGTCCCTGGCTTGCTAACTAGTAGAAATGGTTTAAATCTATCTACCATATCTGTTCATCTTAATCTCCTGAAGACTTTGACTGAATCACACCTTAGCCAAGGAATACATTGCCAATTTGCTCAATGTCTCCTTGCAACTTGCAGTGTCCGTGGAATCATTCTGATAAACCAATACTACACTTCCTCCAAGGCCAATGCTTCCTTATTAAGGTAAAGTCCAATCAAATCCTCCAAGTGTAGTCTAACCAGAGCTTTCTACTTGGCAATCAAACTGATAGTAAGCATAACCAATATTTAATCATCCCTGAAGATGTGAAATTACAAAGATCTGGCTAATCAATTATATGTTATTTGACAACACTCTTTGTTAACATTGCAGGCAATGGGTCATGTTTAGCGCATAGATAACTAATAGCAAATATGATTTTTTAGTTGTTAGCGCCAAATGAGAAGACCATTTCTTTATGAATTTAAAGCCATGAATAGCATAATGCCATGTCAAGGCACCGTTTATTTTATTGTAAATATCAACAAACAAACAACTTGAACATTTGGGGCATGGGTCTTTTGGCAAAGAGTCACAGAGTCATACATAGAAACAGGCCCTTCCATGATGTCAGTGCCAACCAACAAACACCATACCACACTAATCCCATTTACCTGCATTTGGTCCATAGCCCACTTTGCCCTGGTGTGTTAAGTGCACATCCAGATGCTTCTTAAATGTTGTGAGAGTACCTGTCTCCAATACCCTCTCAGACAGCACATTTCATATTTCTACCATACTCTGGGTGAAAATTCTTTCCTCAGATCCACTACTTACTCGTCATATTAAACATGCCCTCTGGCTCAGATATGCCTGTCATGGGGAAAAGATTCTCATGATCTACCGTGTCTATGATAAGTTTGTATATCCCAATCTGATCCATTCTCAGTCTCCTCTATTCCAGGGAAAACAAACCCAGCCTTCCAATATGAGGTAGGTCTCTCCTCATAACTGAGACTTTCCATTCAAGGTAATATCCTGGTGAATTTCCTCTGCACCATCTGTGCAATTACATGCTTCCGAATGTGCAGTGACCAGAACTGCACACAGTATTCCTCCTGTGGCATAACAAGGTTTAAACAAGAGTTCTCTGTGTCTATATTCTACAACCTGGCAAATGTAAGCAAGCATCCCTAATGCCTTCTTCACTATCCTATGTACCTGTACTAACACCTTACAGGATCTATGGACTTGTACTCTGACGTATCTATAACTGGGCTGGAAGGTTCAAATATGAGTCCCCGGAGGTCATAATAGGTCCAAACTGGTTTATTTATTCATGGGACGGGAGCATTGCTGGTTACATCAGCATTTATTGTTTTTCCCTATTTCCCCTTGAGAAGATGGTGGTGAACTTTCTTGAACTGCTGCAGTCAAAAGGAGAATAGGTACATACAGTACTGCTTTGAAGGCAGTACCGGGATTTTGATCTAGTGACAGTGAAGGAATGACAATGTAACAAGTCAGGATAGTGTGTGACTTGGAGGGAAACTTGCAGGGGTGGTGTTCCCATGTGTCTGCTGCCCTTGACCTTCTGGAAGATACAGGTTTCAGATCTGGCAGGTGCTGTTGAAGCAACTTTGGTGAATTGCTGTTGTGCATTGTGTAGATGGTAACACTGTGCATCAATGATAAAGGGGTTGTGTGCTGAAAAGGGTAGACAGGGTGCTTATTAAATGGGCTGCTTTGTCCTGGATGGCTTTGAACATCTGGAATATTGTTGGATCTGCACTCATCCAGGCAAGTAGAATGTGTTCCTTTACACTTCTGATAAGTGGCTTGCCGACTGTGGACAGGTTTTGGTGTGACCCATGCCATTCTAGTTCTGAGTCCCATGGCTACTCTCATTCACATCTGCCAATCTGACAATGCCTAAATTGTGGAATTCACTACCATAGAGAGCACCACATTAGTCACAGGCTACAAGGGTTATGGGCAGTGGGCAGGAAAGTGGGGCTGAGATGAGATCAACCAAGACCGTATTACATAGCGGAGCAGGCTCCAGCGGCTAAATCGCCTATTCTAGCTCCACTGGCAGAATGGGGTGAGACATTTTAGAGTGCAAACTGAACACAATTAAACACGAGACGGCAACAGCAAAATACACCTGGAACCTGAAATGAAAACAGAAAATGCTGCAAACACTCATCAGGTCAGAGAGAAATAATTAACGTTTCAGGTCATGGAGGCCCTTTCATTAGTTCCAGGGGGAAAAAAAATCATTAGAGATGTGATCGGTTTTGAGCAAGGCGTCAGTTGGACGAGGAGGGTCTCTGACAGAGGTAAGATCTAGTCAATTTCTTCGGCAGCAATTTCCAGGCATTTGTTGGCACTATCACTGCAATACTGGCGAACACTGGCTTCCTTCTCTTTCGCAGTCTTCACTGCTTCCTGTAATAAAAAAAAATGCACGGTTGCTTGTCCCAGCCTGCACGGCGCTGCTTCCCTTCGACCCAGCAATGAAGAAGGTTGAAGCAGGGATTGCAATGTGACTGAGTTGCAGTGGGATTCCGCTGATAGCTCGGGGAACTGCTTGCATTGTAAGCGAGGGCGGTATGTAGAAAGCAGTGTCTGTGTGCAGGTCCGGGACAGACGGCGACCATCCAGGTTCAACAGAATCAAATGCAGAACCTTTAAAACAAAAACACTAAAGTAAATGGATTTTAGTCGGATGTAAAACTCCTTTGCAATTTTCGGACAGATTCTACATTGTTTACGTGGCGACTTTGTGAAAATAATTTGAGTTTTCAGTTGCACCGTCGATTTTTGATTTTAGTTTCGGTTTTGTTTCTTCGCTGTACTTTGGCCCACCGGCAAAAACAAATATTTAATATGCTAATCGGGACCTCGGCCCATCACCTTGGTGCTGTCTCTTTTTAACAGCTGCTATCCGATTAGTCCATCCTGTAAAGCTTTCCTTTGGGAAAATTTCAACTATTGATCCGAAACTGGGAAGTTAACTCTTTAAGTGCCGAGCATCACGGCTCAATTAACAGTCAGTTAAAAGTTATGGGTTCAAGACCCACTCGAGAGACAGGAACACAGAAAAAAAACTGAGACTTACACTCCAGCTCAGTATTGGGGAAGCTGGAGATGTCCATTTTTGAATGAACTGTTAAACCAAGGCCCCACCTAGTCTCGTATGAATGTTAAAGATCTCAGTACACGATTTTAAAATGTGTGTATTGTACTTGTCCCTGGTGTTCTTGCCAACATCAATCCCTCAATTAATGTCATTAAGAAAAAGATTGTCAGATCATCATGAAATTGCTGCTTGCAGGATCTTGCTTTGTAGAAACTGGTTACTGTGTAACTCGCACTATGACAATATCCAGACTTCAAATGTACTGAATGGGCAGTGAAGTGCTTTGAAACATTCACTGATCATGGCAGGTGCTGTATAAATGCAAAATTTTTGAAAAAAAGAGAGAATGTGACCATAGGAGCAACTGTTGCAGAGAACTGGCGCAAAGATAATGGCCTCCTTGATGCTGTAACCTTTTACTGATCCTATTTTTAAATAATATTTTATTAGGTTTCCTCAAAACTTAAACAGTGACTATATTACTCTTTAGAGGAGAGACATGAGGTGCTAAAGATTTTGTTTTAATTAGTGATTTTCTTTCTGTTATAATCTTTCATTCAAGACAGTAGTCAAATAGGGATACGCAGGAGCCATTTAAGTAACAATTGGATGATATGGTGGGGAATTTGAGTGTCATTGTAAATGATTTTGTGGTAATTGTATATGTGTATTCTGAAATATCCCCTTAATATCACTTACTGCATTTGTATTAACCTATCCTTTATTGTAATTTGCTAACATACTTTATTCAATGTTGTCCATACTTAATTTTTTTTAAAAAGTAGTCCTGGACCCACTTGTCTTTCCCTTGAATTAAGTATAAAATTCAGTCTTGTTATGTTTGACCTAGGGACACCTTCACTGTGAGGTTGTTAATTAATTATATCTCATTGCATAAACCAGGTCTAGTATAAAGTGCTCAATGATCAGGTCCAGAATGTGCTGCTCCAAAAACCAACTATCCCAAAAACAACTCATCAACTCATCACCTAGGCTACCTTTGCTCACCTGACTTTTCAAATTTTATTCAGCTGGAATTGCAGTGATAATTTGCATTGATGTAGTTTGCTTAATGTAGCAAAATACTTCAATCTACACAAAAAAAAAGTTGGGCTTATAGGTAAGAAGAATTAAGAGGTACTTTTGTAGAACTGGCAAAAGCATTGTCGAAGAGATAACTGAAGATTCTGTCATTGACAGAAATCTACATTGACCAGTGTTGGACTTGAGGTTTCAATGTCGTATGTTGATTAGATGATGGAAGAATTTGAAGTTATGCATGATGGTTTTAAAAGCCTGTACATTGGGGAACTGGGAGGCAATAGAGTTTGGAAATGATTAGGTGAGTGGGTTTTTGTGACTTGGAGACAGTAAGGACTGCAGATGCTGGAAGCCAGAGTCAATAGATGTGAAGCTGGAAAAGCACAGCATCCAAGGAGCAGGAAAGTCAACATTTCATGCCAGAACCCTTCGTCAGGACTGGGTTTTTGTGGCTGGTTGTCCAATATGAATCAAGATGTGGAGGTGCTGGTGTTGGTCTGAGTGGGCAAAGTTAGAAGTCACACAACACCAGGTTATAGTCCAACAGGTTTCACCTGACAAAGGAGCAGTGCTCTGAAAGCTTGTGACTTCAAATAAACCTATTGGACTACAACCTGGTGTCATGTGACTTCTGACACAATGAATCAGGGTAGTTTCAGGCATTCACCATTAAGCAGAACATTGGAAAAGTCTGAAGCTGAAAAGATGTGAATTTCTGAGTCACTGGAAATGATATTTGGGGAATGGAGTGTTGTGGGAATTGGTAGTATTTATTTATGTGGAAATAGACAGTCACAGTGATATGAGATTCCAAATTCAGCTTGAAGTTGATCAGGAATGTGGTTGTGCATTATCACCGTGAGCAACCTTGAACAAACTTTGTGATCAGGGCCTAGGGTGTGCCTTGTCTGCTTGTGGTTTACTAGGATGCCTTCAAAATTGATCTGACTTATCCACGCCTTACTGCCCAACATAAGGGCCCAGAAAATCACTTTAGTATTACCAGGATATTTAAGGGATTTGACCATGTTTCTGAATAATATTGTATTGTAAACCATACAGGCACAAGGTATCTATTTGAATCGTAGTTCAGAAGTATCTAACATTTATCTCTCCTACAGTCAGTTTTAGTCTCAGATCTGACTACCACAAAACACTAATGAATGGTGTGTTTAAGTGAAAAATATGTGATATTGCAACAGTTGTTAACTTATTGGAGGCAAACCCTGAAATGACCAGATTTACACATTACATTGAATTACAGGCTTCTTGTTTCTTTGCAGTGCCCAGAGCTCTTGAGGGAATGGAATCAAACCTGGCAGAGAGGACCATCGCTGTATCAGGCTTTCCTGAAGACGTTCTTCCCATTAATGTGATGATTGACAAACTCACCATTCATTTTTTGAGGCCAAAGAATGGTGGTGGAGAGGTGGAATTTGTCTCCTATCCTACCAGTGACCCTGGTATTGCTTATATCATCTTTGAAAAGGAGGAAGGTATGTTTCCAAAACCATGAGTCAAAGAAAATCTTATACACCTCAAAACATGGATGAGTTATTCATGGTGCTGCCTACAAAAGCCAAAGTGAATTTCCCTCACAGTACATAATTGATGTTGTAAGCATAGGTATATGATCTATTTGTGGATAGAAAGATGATTTTCTCTTTCCTTGATTGTATCTAATGGCTTATTTGGTTTACAGTTTTTTTTTCCCTTGGAATAAGGGGCGTCACTGGCTAAGCAGCATATATTACCCATCCCTAATTGCCCAGAGAGCAGTTAAGAGTCAACCACATTCCTTTGGGGCTGGGGTCACATGTAGGCCAAACCAAGTAAGGATGGCAGTTCCCCCCCCCTCTCCCCCGCAAAGGACATTAATGAACCAATTGGGTTTTCCCAACAATCGACAATGGATTCATGGTCATCATTAGATTCTTAGTTCCAGATGTTTACTGAATTCAGATTCCACCATCTGCTGTGGCAGGATTCAAACCCAGGTCCCCAGAGTGTTATCTGGGTCTCTGGATTAACGGTCCAGCGATTATACCACTAGGCCATTGCCTCCCCCGCAGGAGGAGGAGCAACCACTAGTGAGTCTCCATAAGAAGACTTAACAAGGTGTAGTTTATTGGGTGATAGCAATTAGACACAAGTTGCTTTATCTAGTTAGATATTGTTATTAAGACTATTGTGAGGCATAGATAACACATCTGTCCCCTTTTGAGATCCAAAGCTAATCTCCCAATTTCCCCACTCAAGACTATATGAAATCATCAGAATGAGTGAAGCTGAATGCAGTCTTCAATATTAACCTTTTCAGAAGCAATT